ATGGGGTGACAGATGGGAGCTGGGCTCTGGCTTTCATGGGAAAGCCTCCTCTCGGCAGGAGGCAGTGAGTTTCTCACCTAATCTTCTATAACCTCCAGACTGCTAACAACTGTAAGAAGAAAGCAACATGTAGTTATTAAATTAATGACTTCATCTCCAAGCCAGTAATAAATGTTTTACTGTTTTCTCTCTCCACACTGCAGACTGCTCTAGACAGCCTAGACTGTTTATTAATCTAGCTTCTGGATTTATGTTATCTAATTGCTAAACACTCTCAGCATGGTTGGGCTGGATTATTAAATGCTGAAGCCCAAGAAGGAGTCCTCTGGCAAATGGCAAAATCTAAGGAGCTGATCCTTGGGCTTCTGCTGGATGAGTCTTAGGCCAAAATCCCCTGAGGCCAGTGCCATTGACCTGGAGCAAAGTCCAGGTTAGCGCCTGTTTAAGTCTGTGGTTGGTCATTACTTATGTTAGTTGGGGTGGATCCCAGGGCTCACTGTGAGTAGAAAGACGAAGAGAAAAGCTTTGGCACATCCTGGCTTCCATATGGGCTGTGGGGTCAGACATCAAACATCAGTGTGGCCAGGCTCTTCCTGGTGTGCTCTGAGCCTTGGTGCTGGCCTTGGAGCTCAAGCAGATTCACATGTCCTTCCTCTGTCCCTTTATGACTCAGTGTTCTGCAGAGCATCCCAGATTACCACTGACATTCAAACAAAAGAGTGTTGCAGTTATATAAATGAATGCAGACTTTAATGGTTGTTATACTTCCTGGTTGACAGGGATGAAAACGTCTTTAAATCTGATACTACCATTTTTACAACAATTGGTGATTTATTCATCCCATTGAAAGAAGGGGATGAAGGCATCTGGAATAACGAGAGCTATTTGTCTGAAGAATGCAGCCCTGGTCCCACGAGCCCTTCTGCACAAAGTGGGAGGTCGTTTCAGGATATATCTTCTCATAAAAGTGTAGGAGAAACAAGTACATTGACAAGTGCAGGGCAGAGCCCTTCCTACTACCTCCCCAGCACACTGAGTTTCTGCCTGATCTCATCTCCATCTTCTAGGGCCCGAGGAGTGAATTCAGTGCCAAATGGCAGCTCTGTAGACCATGGTTGCTTTCTGCCCCCAGTAAAGAACCAAATGAAGAAGGAGGTATCCCCACAGCGAGAGTGACCCAGCCCTGAGACATCACCCACAGGAGCACTATGAGAAGGAGGAAGACAATCAGGAAGAAAGAACAAGGCTGGCAAAGAAACCCCTCTCTGCTTCCACCTGCAAACTCTCATTGCAGCCTATGGCTCTCCAGGAGCAGCTGAGTGAATGCTGGCAAATGGAAGGCACCACTTGAGCAGAAGAATGGAGGGACAGGTCATTAGCAGCTTTTAACAATTAATAGTGGTATCCAGCAAGGCCAAATGACACGCACGTTGGTCAATGATTTATACAACAACCAATGATTTATAGAAATAACCAAACACAAGTAGCTTTCCTCTCACATCCTTGAAGTGAAAGTCCTGCTCTCCTCTGCCTCCCAGCTCTCACTTTCCACTTGCTGGAGGAGACTGAAGAGCTCTCCTAAGCACACCTATAAACTTACAGTGTACCATCTTAAACCCATTCAATTCCCTTCCCTGCAATAAAGGACGCCAGTTCAGAGAAGATAACATCTCACAGTGATGGCTCCCAAAGCTGCAATTTAACATGAATCTAACCGCTCTATTATGCAGCACAGCCAATTCGTTAGGAAAGGACAAGTGAGCGTGCCTGTTAGCTCCATCATCATAATCAAATATTGGCACAATGAACTGTTCGGTGGTGCAAAGTCTATCAACTCCCCCCTCCCCCCCCTCCCAATGATGTGCCCTTCATAAATAAACCACGCCAGTCAGTTTGGATGAACCATCTCCCGAGTCTGCGTGTTTCCCCCATTAAGGATATGCAGCCATTTGTGAAGGGGATAGGATCCCATAAGCTACAGGAGGTGTCCAGCAAAACCTCAAAGACACCTTGCCCTTGGGAAGCATGCTCTAACTCTGCCCCTTGCAGAGTTAATTGCTATTAACCCACGAGCTCTGTCCCATGCCCTGCAAAGCTCCGGGAAGGACATCCTCTCCTCTACCACCCTATAAATCCACCAGCGTGGATCCCTGCAGCTCCAGAGGACGTGTCCACTCCTCCACCATCCCCATGAGCCTGTACTAAGCTCTCACAGTCATTCAGCCCTAGAAAGGGACCTTCAGAGCCTGCAGCTTACAGACATTCATCAGAGAGAAAAAAAACCTGCCAGTGAACACCCGTGGCTGTGTCTGTGTTGAAGGAAAGACTTTCAAGAATCCTCTTTGATCCCAGAAGTTCATTCTGAGGGTTTCTGGCTGCGGTTCTCATCCTTCTGCCCCCATTTTACTCCACCTTTTTATCTCTGTGCCATGGCATCAAGGCCACCTCCTCCCCCATGACCTGCAGCATCTACGTAAAATTCCCATTTAACCCATCTCCCTCAGCTCCAAATGGCCTTTGTGTGAGTTACCTTATTTCACCTCGGAAGCTTCAGCTCTAGCAAAGCTAAACCAGAATGCCATCTCCAGCAAAGCGAGCGGTGATGAATTCCCTCCATTGCTACAGCTTCAGAAGAAAACTCTTCCTGCAGTGAAGAAGCTCTGCAATTTGAGCAGGACGACCTGAGAGCATTGCAGCCAGGAAAACAAACATGAGGGAATCATGTTGGAAAAGGCCTCTAAGACCGCCAAGTCCAACCACCAACCATCCCCACTGTGCCTGCTAAACCCAGTCAGAGAAAGAACCACTTCCCAGCATCTTTCCCAGCTAAATCTCCAAGATTAACGTTTGCAATTTGTTTAGTAAATCCAGAAGGTGAAAGCGTGCGTGCTGCCCTGCCAATGGCAGCTGCTTGCTTTGCACCATAGCTCCGCGTGGTGACATGTTGGGGACATGGGCAGCAGCTCGAAGAAAGACCATAGGAACTAAAGTCACAAACAGAACTGGGTTTTATTATGAAACAACCCTGCCAGTACATAAGGAAGTTCTGTCTGCAAAATACATTTCCTGAGGAAAGTAGATCACAGTATTCGTTTTCACAGAATAACATGTAGCCTGCTATAACTTTCAATTGACTCTTTATTATTTAAATATTAACAGTATTCCTTCACATAAACAAGTACTCAGTCATCACGTAACCGACACACAAACAACAAAATAAATATACAACAAGAGCACAGTTCGTTTTTCCCACCCGCCCCCCTCCCCCCCGACTTAAATATTAAATAAATAATAAATACAGAATTCTCATTTCCTGTTATCAGTGCCTGAAACAATAGGAACGAAAAAGAAAAGAAAAACCGACAAAGTCTCTCTTCCCCTGGTGCCCCATCCCCAGCAAAAAAACAAACCAAAAAATTATCAAAATGTCTCAGTTATAAAATATCTTTAAAAAAATTCCCATCGTTAAAAGAATAAATAACAAAATATATAAAAAATAACTTGGTTGCATCAAAATTACAAGTAGGAGTTGTAGATAGAGGTTTCTCTCTCTTCTTTTTTTTTTTCTTCTTTTTTTTTTAAATTTTTTTGGGGAATGTCCTTTTTTATGGTCAAAAGTTTTAATTTTTGCTTCTTTTATCTTTGTTTTTTTGTTTTTTTTTCAATGGTGCGGTGTCCAGTTTAAAGTAAGTATAAAATTAATAAATAAAAAAGTTAAATAAATAGAAAAAGTTAACATAAGGTGTTGTAAATATAAATTACATACATCTTGCCAAAATTAAATAATTTACAGGATAATTAAACTAACTACTTTTTTTTTTTTTTTTCCTCTCTTTCTTCCAGGAAGTGCAATTTCTCTACTTTTAAATACTAAGTGAATTGCAGTCACAATCAATTTGGACTCTATTTACATGTTAAGAACATTGTGTTTTTAACACCTCAAATTATCATTTTATTTTATTTTTTTCCCTTTCTTTTGTATTTTTGCACTTGGAATGGGTTCTAAAATGGGTGAACTCATGGAGCCTGATCCTGCCAATGGCTCAGCATGGCACTTCCCAACAGGAACCAACCCGCGCCACGCTGCTCCCGGTCCAATGCCTGCTGTAGTCAATGGGAAACTCCCCACTGACCTCCAAATCGTGGATTATACCCTAAATATCTGCAGAATTGGGCTCAAAATGACACCACATCTTTGCCTTTAGCATCGGCCACCCAAATCCTCCCCACTGCTGCCAGGAGCCACGCAGGAAGCGAACACACCTATGTTGGGACCCCAGAGGGGTTTCTTCCCTTCATTTCCTTGGGTCACCTTCACTCCACCAGGAGGTTTGTGTGTACCAAGCTTACAGAATGCTTCTTTGGAAGAATATCCAATACCTGAACAATTTTTTACTTTCTTTTTTTCCTCCAGAATGGTGCTTGTGCTGTGATTTTGCACAAAACGTAGAACGCCAAACCAAGAAAAACCCATCACCCTGTGGATATCTGCAAGAAATCAACCACTGATTCGTGTTAGGTAAGCACTTTGCTGGCCATCAATTAGCATCTCTTTTTTGTTGGTTTTTTGTTTGTTTGTTTTTTAGTTCATCGCAATCTCAAACGTTCTCTGGCATTGATGTATGATCTCTGGACTGGCAGTACTGCGCCACTGTAAGGATGATCACAATAATGAAAAGAACCAGAACTGTCATCAAACAGACTTCCAAAAAATCATAAACACCGGACCATGACACATTAAGAATTCTTCCGTATGAAATATCTGGTATTGGCCTATTCATAATAGCTATTCTCATATTTAAGACAGACAAAGGAATACTGTAGTTGCAAACTCCAAAAGCTTCCCTGAGAACCTTTTTTCCATTGCGCTTTCCACTGGAGATCCAGAACTGCTCTTCAGATTTCTTTCAGAAAATAAAAATAAGCTACTTTATAATACTTAAAGAGTTCCCATGCCCAGTGGATATCTGAAAACCTGGGGTTGGGAGGCCCAGCACAGGTTCAGATTTACAGGTAGCTTGCAGCTCCAGCACTTATAGCAACATATAACATAACTCATGGGTGAGTAGGTAATCTGGACATACGACCATAGACAACATGAGGGTTTAAGCCAGTCATACGCTAGTCTTGGATCAGACAAAACCCTGTTCTTGTAACATTTTAACCCTTGGATCAAGTCTGCAAAAGCATGGCAACTCATGAGAGACGCCTGCTCTTCACCAGCTGCCAAGCCCCACAGCCCATGGAGAATTTGACCTTCCATCCTGGTCTACCTCATGGTCCAGGTAGAAAAATCCCACTTTTCTCAAGAAGGTCCAAAGTTAAGTAAACGAGAACACTGAGTTCGATCAGTTCCACGTCTCAGAAATGGCCTCTTGGTTACATTTTGGTCCTTGTGTGTTTTTTTTGTTTTTTGTTTTTTTAGTTTGTTTTGCTTTGCTTTTTGTTTTTCATTCATTAAACAAGTTTTATAACTTGTAAACCTGAATACTTGGAGGGAAAGTTCCATCTTACAGTCTCATCGCCCACCCATCCCCATCGCAGGGCACTAAACTTGGATGCCCTTGACGGCTTGCTTGATGCTCTCCAGCAGGTCCTTGTTCTCTGGGTTCTGGTAGCACTCCTGGTTGGTGTACATGTCAGTCAGCGTGTTCACGTACGCATCGAAGTTCTGCTCACTAATGGGCTCCTGCAGTCAGAAAAGCAAACAGAAGAGTTAGTAGTAGAGCAGGGTGGCTTTGATCAATCATAGGATGGCTTTGATTGAAAGGGACCTTAAAGATCATCTAGTTCCAATGCCCTGCCGTGGGCTGCTGGCCTCCCACCAGATCAGGCTGCCCAGGTCTCCATCCAACCTGGCCTTGAATGCCTCCAGGATGGGGCATCCACAGCTTCTCTGTGCAGCCTGTGCCAGTGCCTCACTGCTCTCTGAGATTTTTTTTTTTCCAATTAATTGTGCCAATAGCCAAAGGTCTCAACATCAGAGGTTCTTTGTGCGTGGCGTTGTACATAAAGAATCTCACTGAGCAACCTTCATCCTGCAGAATCTTCACTGGTTGCTTGATTTTATGCGTTGGCCACATGGGATTATCAACAGCATCAGGTTAAGCATGTGCAGGCAGTTTGACTGGAGGGTGGACTGTGGCGTGGAAATGAAAGGTTGGAGGACAAGAGGAGGCAGGGAGTGCTGGAGCATCACGGGGGAAATGAAAGGAGAGGGTAGAGCAGGAGCCAGAACCTCAGGCTCAGGTCTGCACTCTGCTTTGGAGGGGCATGATTGAAACCTAGCAAACTCTATCTCAGAGTTAGCAGGGAAAAAGAAAACAAGGAGGAAGAAGAAAAAGAGCAGGATAAAATGAGCATACAAGTCTCATGGGCCTTATTTAATCGGAGTTGCCTGAAACCTTGAAAAAATATTTGCTGAACAATTTATTTGACCTTTATGCGTCAAATACTTTACAAAAAAAAAAACAAAAAAACACTCAGTGAGCAGTTTTGTGCCAGTCAAGCAGCTGGGTGAATAGTGTCCAAAACTGCTCTGCTGGAGCATGGCACATCTCCAACCAGCCTGAATTTAAATACCAACCCCAATGAAAAGGATGCCCCAAAAAAAAATGACAGCAGAAAAAAAGAAATCAAAAGCTTGTTCCTCTTGATCATCGTGATGGTCGCTATTACTTGTAAGAGGACAGCTTCCAAACCAGCACGCAGCCCCCCTGCACACACCTGTTTTTGACAACAGTAATTACATTCCTGGGAATAGAGAGAAGGTAATTAATAGCCTTTTGTGGTTTTACTATTTTAATGCAGCCTTTTCATTTTGCAGTAACTCTATGGTAACATGCTGTGGGCTGTTAGACCTTGTTAAATTAAACAAAATACACTCTCTTTAAGAATGCTATTCTTTGGCTGCCAGCTATTCAAAACTGAATTGAAACTACCTGCATAATAATGGGAGCTGTAAGATCTTTCTGACGTTGAAATCCAATCCCTCCTGATCTCTGCTTGTGCTGTCTTAGCCTAAAAGGCACTGGGTGCCCTTGATAAAGTTTCCTATTTTGTGATAATCCTCCCAGATGTAATGAGACAGAATAATAGATACAAAGGGAGATCAGCAGAAAACGACAACAAAAGGGAGATAACAATGCGAGCTTCGAGATAAGGCAAAAGCACTGATTTTAAAAAGGACAGGTAGGTGCGTATAGAGAAATTCTCCTGCTCTTTAATTGTACGTGAGCCTTATCACGAGCCAGATCTTGCGCGGCTCCCCTGATGGCACCAAGTGGGGCTGAGCACTGCCCAAGTTTCTTACCATGTGCGGAAGGCGGATATTGGCAAGACTTTGGATTAGAGCCTGGCTCAACCCTGAGAGCTCCAGGAACAGGGCTTCGTTTTGCTCCTCTATGATCTTGTTTTCCTCTTCAATGTTCTTCAGGTTCTTCTCCATGCTGGAGATCTGCAGAGCAAAGAACACGTGGGGTTACAAACCCATCAGCACTCTGCTGGGAGCTTGGGCACGTGTCCAAAGGCACAAACCTGCGACTGGAGCTTCACCATGGCTGCTTCCATCTCCGAGTTGGACTCGTTCAGCTCGCTGATCTCCTTGTTCAGCTGCTTGATCTCCTCATCGTTCTCTAGAACTGCGGGAGGGAAAGTGGCAGGCAGTCAGCCTCTGCTTTTGGGTAAGCATGGCAGCCCACCAAGTCCTCGCCTTTGCTTTCGCATCCTCAATACAGAATGCACATCTTGCTTTCTTTTTAATGTTGTTTTTTGGTTTTTTGTTTGTTTGTTTTTTGTTTTTTGTTTTTTAATTTAACTATAATTATACTTTATAGGTCAATTTGTAAATGCAAAAGTGAACAAGAGCCCAGCAGTTGGAGCCCAGAGCATTCGTGCGCCCTGCAAGGTTGACCACCCTAATAACTCAAGTTTGCTCTGTTTGGTCGCAAGTTGGGAAGACATCATAAAAAAAAATAAAAGCATATCTTCATTAGAAGTTACAGTGCTAATAAAATAAGGGAACATTTCTAGAAAAGCACAGGCATTTATGTCTTCCAAACTATTAAGTATTCAGCTAAAATGTGTGAATCATGTCAAATATCAAAATCTTTCAGTGTTAGCACTAGAAAGTGCCATCACTAACCCAACTCCAGATCCAGAAATATCTTTGGGATTAGAAGTCTTGAATAGATGAAAATAACTGAATGACTGAAAGGGATTTGCGAAAATGCCAGAGAATATTTGAAGGAAAAAAAATAAGACCAACACTCAAATTTCAGTGCTATTTCACTATTTCAATACTCAGGCAATCAAAAAAACGGGTGCTTGTAGCACAGGATTTGCTAGTAGGTCCAAAGATTTCAGTCTATGAAGAGATGCCAGTGGGCTCAATACCCCAACACACGTGCCAAATAAAATGAGTGAAAATCCTTACCATCACTGGTCTTGAACTTTGTGTTGAGAATTTCATCCCCTGAGAGTTTTCCTTTCTTCCCAGCAAAAGTAGCTCTTGGGCACCCTGACAAACTGAAAAACAAGTAAAAATGGGTTTCATAAACTCTCTGTATTTATAGGTGCTTATGTTCCCAACAAGAGCGCGTACCATTTGGTGGAGTTCATGCTGTGAGACAGTTCTTCTAAAAGCTTTTTATGGTGCAGAGGAAATTGCTTTATGAATAATGCCACAAAGGTCCTCATTTATAAAGCAAGAGCAATTTTCTCTGAGCAAAGATTAAAAAAGAAAAAGTGTTATTTTCTAAAAGAGAGGGCATGACAGGCGAGGAAGGTGAAATGAGTCTGGATGGATTGGGCATCAAACTCCCATTTTGGCTGCTGAAGAACTGCTCTGGCGTGCTAATGGAAGGACACTACATTACTGCTTTTCATGATTTTGTCCAATTCACATTTAGCTACTGCAAAGTTAAAACATCTAAGTGTTTTTATCCCATGCAGAAAACACAGCCCTTCGAGCAACCTGACTGAGGGCAGCATTAAAAGCACCAGTTACCCAGCTTTCATCAAGAGTGGAATGATGCTCAGAGTAAATTCACTCCAAAACTGCCACACTTAGGTTGATCCCAAGGTTGAATATTAGGAAAAACTTCTCTGAAAGAGCAGTGATGTGTTGGCACAGGCTATCCAGGGAGGTGGTGGGGTCACCATCCCTGGAGATGCTCAAGCACAGTGAAGAAGTGGCACTGAGGGACACGGTTAGAGGGTATGTTGGTGATGGGTCAATGGTTGAGCTTGGAGATCTTTTCAAGCCTTAATGATTCTGTAATTATTTACCTCCTGTGAGTGAGGAAGCTCCCATTGGCATGGCCGGAACCATCACAGCCTGGGGTAGGGCAGGTTGGGCCTTCATTTTTCAGTGATTTCCAGGAAAATGAGGAGCCATTGAGGGATCCTTCCTTCTGCCTTCGAGCAGCCAGGGGGCAGCCCGATGCACTGCGGTGGGAGGCGTATTTACCACTGATGTGCCCAAGACCAACGCAGCCAGGAACCGGACACCTACGCACAAGGAATACAAGAAATTATAGGAGTGAAAAGGGATGGAATGATGAGCAGGAAAGAGGAAGGCAGGAAAGCAAGCATTCATAATTGGGGATGCCATCCAGACTTCAGTCTGGAAAAAAGGATACTCATGTGAGACTATGTTGTTCCCAACAGCTCCCTGAATGCAGATTGCGGTGAGGGTGGGGGTCAGCCTCTGTGACCAGGTAACAGCAATAGGATGAAAGGTGATGGCCTCAATGTCGCACCAGAGGAGGTTCAGATTGTATATTAGGAAATGTTTTTTCTCTGGAAGAACAGTGATGGCACAAACTTTGGCACAAACTGCCCAGGGAGGTGATGGGGGTCACTGTCCCCAGAGGTACTCAAGAATTGTGGAGATGTGGCACTGAGGGATGTGGTCAGTGGGCACAGTGGGATGGGCTGAGGCTGGCCTTGGGAATCTTAGGTATCTTCCATCCTTAATGGTTCTATGACTTCGTTTGGTGGATGTTTCACTGATGGAGGTCACACCACTTTGCATCAGCTGGGACATCTCCTCGCACAGGTTTTAAGAGTCTGCGGGACTCATTGATCTCTATGTTATTCTTGTGACTAGAGAGCATGAATGGCAGTGAAACAATGGCAATGGGCTTTGTCACAGCTGGGGCTCAGCACTCTGGGCTGAGCTGCTCAGTGCCATCCCACACACACTGGTGCTATGGGGTAGGAGCTGCATGGTGCACAAGGAGAGGTTCTTTCAAGTCAAACACCAGCAGGCAGGGATAGAGGTATTTAGTTACTTCTAACAAATATGTAATGGAAAAAGCTCCTCAGGGAATAGAAGTGCTGTTTTTGCAGCAATGGATATGGGAAGCAGATGGGAAATTAAGAGCTAAGCCATTCCCCTAAAAAGAACCAAAGACAACCAGCGGGCATCACACCACTGCCACACTCACAGCACAACACCCAAAAAGCAGCTGCTATGATGTCCCCACGCCTTAAGACAGACAGTAAAAAACTGTGGTTTTGGGCATCCTGGCAGCACCCCAAGGACGATCCACTTGCACCAAACACATTGGCAGCAAACCGTGTGCTCACGGTTGGGCAGCAGCAGGAATTGCTGCCCATCCCATGCATCCAGTGCCAACTGGGACCAGGAAGATGGTGCTGGAGGTGTTGGGGCAGCGCTGACACGAGCAGTGTTAATTGGCACAGCTCACTTGCTAACTTCCCACTTAACGGCACGCTGAGTGAATTCGGCCATTCAGCAGAGTCTTGACTGTCTATTACGGTTTCTGCTGTGTCTTGCACTTGTTTAAAGATGCTAGTCAATTATAAATACACTTAAAAGTTTATTACTCGAGGGAGGTTACCCTATAAAAGGGTAAGAAATGGAAAAAATAACCCCTTGTCCTCAGCTTGAAAGCAATTAGGGACTTTGAGTTACCCCAGCAAAATATCCATTGAGCCACTCCTGGAAATCACAAGCTCTGTTTCACCACAGCAATGATTCCCCTCATTGTTTATATTTCGTGCAAAAAGGAGCTGACAGCAGAAGGGGGAGCCGCACACCCATTATTTTCCCAAGATAATTTGAAAAATGCTGATCTCGATTTTAATCAGCTGCAAATGCAGCACAATTCACTTATAATATCCCTGCCAGCAGGATCCTCAGTAAATTCATAACATCATTGCTTTTATATGATCACGAGCAAATTACTGAATCCTCAGGAGGAAAAGGAGAGGAAAAAATAAAAGAGAGAGAGAGAGAGAGAGAAACAAACCCCAGCATTTAGCATGTAGCCATTATGGCCCTACCGTTCCATATTTTACACTGTTAATTTAACTTGCATTACACTTTCATTGTTAAAAAATAAACCAGAGCCTTATTGTGCAAAACAGCTGGCTCGGACATTTTTAAATTTTTTTATTTTTATTATTATTATTTAACAGAAGCAGCAGCAGCAGCACTTGATCAATTAGGGAAGTGCAGATGCCTCCACTTGGTGCCAGGGCTGGGCTGAAGGTTGAGGTGCTCTGTTCTACCACATCTATAGCAAATTACTGGAAGGATGAGCAGCCAAACAATGGGGACTGAATGCCATTCTCCTTGGAGGCAACGTGCAAAACTCAGATGGGTTTCAAGTGCCACTCGGAGCAGAGAAATGGATCCTTGCAGGGATGTGCGCGGTGCACACCTTGCTGCTGGAGACAAAGCACCTGCTTGCTATAAACTGATGGGCAGCAAAGGAATCTGAGTTGTTTTGCACATCTCAGAGGAGCTGCTGCTCATTCTGGGACTAGCAGAAGACCGTGGGCTGCTGCTTGTTCTGCAGCACATCAGGGGCTGCTTTCAGACCTCGTGCATCCCTCTGCAAGCAGAGGAGCAGAACCACAGTGAGGCCATTCGGGTCATTCTGAGATTCAAAAATCCCATCCCTGGTGATGCTCCAGCACATTCCTTCCTGTTGTAAGCCTTCAAGCATCGAGCACAGCCCCCAGCACTGGAAAGAACATCGGTTTTGTGGGAAGCATTCTTGTGCAAGCACTAGCTGCACTGTAGCAAGAGAATCCTGTAAGAGCTCCTTTGCACTGGGAAGTGATCACTTGCAAAGCAGGAGGAGCTGCTTGGTGCACCCTCAACCTTCAGTGCAAAAGCCCAGCAGCCAACAGTTGCACTGCTGCACTCACTGCTTTTTCTTTCCTTTACTGTGTCACAAAATGGCATCGCAACCCCATCAGCAATTCAGGACTATCTGAGTCCAAAAGGTTTTTTTTTTTTTCCTGCAGATTCTCAAGTAGGTCGCTTAATTTTTAATAAACTCTGCTAACTCCTGCTAATTATCACACAGTTCATTTAGCTCGGAAGCTTTCCTTCCTGGAGACAGAGGAGTGAGAACAGAGCAGATGGCTCAAATATCATCCGCTTCTCAAAGCTCCTTTCTCCAGCTCGGAATATTCAGCAGTAGCCAAGGCTGTACGAAGCACATTTAATGCAGGGCAACCATGCCCTGACCCTACCCGTGCCAGCACCCTTCGTGTGCCCACTGCCACCCTGAAAGCCTCCAGCATTTCACCCAACTGTGGGTTTTTACCCTCATTTACAACACCGGTGATTTTCTCTTCGTCCACACTTACTTCATCAGCTCCGGGTCTTCTTTATCGTCCTTGGTCGGGGTTATCTTGATCCCACTTTTCTTGGCACGAGGGCAGCCTGACAGACTGTGTTTGAAAAGAGAAGAAAGGGCTGTCTGACTGGCAGGGCCCCCACCTCATCAGCTTCCCCCGAATTTCGCACGCGGTTTTGATCTCTCTCGTTTTGCAGCTTCACATCACGAGGAGAAGTCAGGAGAAAAAAATATGTGTATTTGAGGAGATGGACAGTAATTAACGGTGCCTAGATAAGACGATATCTGCTAACAGCCTGCAATGTTTAATGGAATTGTTGAAACAGAAGGCTCAGATCTCCGCTATTAATGCTATAAAGTGATAATAGAAGTCATAAATAGGTAGCGTTATTAACAGGAACATTGCATCAGCTAAAATCTGACCCTTTGTCTTTTATTCTATTGAAGGGAGCTTCTAATCAGAGGCTGGAAACATCAAAAAAAGGAAAAAAGTCAGATTAAAGAGATGAAAATAGGCTTCAGTTGTCAGTAACATTAATGTTTTATTCAGAACTTTACAACTCTGCCCACTGCAGGGGGAGGAAAAAGAAAAAGACAGAAAGAAATTAAAAAAGGGGAAAAAAAAAAAAAAAAACCCACAGAAAGAAAATAAAGAGAAAATAATTTAAGAGAAGATCTTACCTTCTGTGTGATGCATAATTTCCTGTTATGTGACCAGAGCCGTCACAGCCAGGAGTAGGGCACCTGTGGATGAAAGGAGGCTGCCGTGAGCTGGGGGGGCACCCACAGAGTGCCCCAAAGCAGGGTTCCTCCCTGCCCCTGCCCCTCTTCTCCCTCCACAGGAACAGCAGCTGTGCTGCAGTGGCCACAGCACTGCTGTCCCTGTGCTGAGGGGTGTGGGCATCAGTAGTGAAGAGTGGAGAGGAATGAGGATGTGGGGAGGGATGTGAATCCTGGACGTGTCCCCATCTTGAAGAGCAATGATAATAAGGGAGGCAAGAAAAGGCCTCCAGGGCAATGCCCATCTTCTCGAGAAAGATGTAGGGAGATGATCAATGCCATCCTGTGCCACTGAGCTGGATATGAGCATAGGCAAAATACCCCAAAAATATCCTACAAGCCTGGCCACAGAGGTGTCTTCCCCAAGGTCACTTTGGGTTTGGGTGATGGGGAGGTAAAGCTCTCTGAGGGCACCCCAGGAGGGACCTCAGAGCCTCAACCTCACCAATGATGGAAAGCAACATAGGAAAAAGAAAAAAAAGGTGACCATAACCTCACTGTGACACTGTGGGTTAGGGATGGGGGCTCTGAAGGGGACCTCAGGTCCCTTCCCATCCACTGCATCCACAATCATGGGTTTGGAAGTAAGCATCCGGTGCTCAGCAACATGAATGAAGGCCAAGCCTGGAAGAATGCTTCTGTGATCACACAGCCCAGCACAAAAGCTGGCACACCGCAGAGCAGGAGCGAAGATAATGGTGTGAGCTGAGCACTGCATCATTACAGCCACGGAAGCGAGGAAGGTGAGGGGCTCTGAAGTGCCACAAGCACAAAGACCTGCTCCAAATGCTGTAGGTGAGGCATAAAAGTTGTCATGGGGACCTGCAAGAGAAGCAGGGAGTCCTCGCTGGAGCCACAGTGCCAGGCTGCCAATTAGCCAGCTCTGCTCCAGTCAAACCCATAGAGCTGGAGGGGCAGGGGGGGGGTTGAGCTGCTGCCTCGAGCTTGCAAAGGCCCCTTGTTCTTGGGGGGATGTTTTGTGCCCTCACTTTCTTGATTCCCAATTATAAGGCTGCCTCTGCCTGGCTTGGCAGCACTGGTTGGAAGATGTTCAGTGCTTCTGGGCATCGGAGACCTGATGGGCAGTGGGGTGGCAGCACAGCAGCCTGCAAGGCCAGTGCATGTGGGAAAGGTAACGTGCTCAATGCTTGACCCAGGCAACAGCACGAGGGGCTATGAGAGACTGCTCAGAGCCAGGTCTGGTGCAGAAACAGCAGGATGTACATCCAGCAGGATGAGGGTGAAAGCCCCCTAACTCATCTGAAAATCAGAGAGGAGAGCGTGTTCATGGCATTTCCCTGTTACATACAAGTAGAGAAAGAATCAAAATGATTCTTTGCTGTTCTAGCTTCGGGGTGGGATGAAATGATGAAAACACAAACACCAAATTCCTTTTGCCTTTCAGGACTTTTTAAAAAGGTGGGGAAAAAAAAAAAAAAAAAGGGATTTGATTTTTATTTTAATTATCAGGAGACAAATCATTCCGATAGAGACCTCTTATTGCATGTTTCAGCCTGGAGCTTTTTTTCAGTTTTTTTGTTTGTTTGTTTTTAACCAGGGATATTAACCCCTGGAATAGAACTTACAATAAAAATGGTGAACGTGGCCTTATCTGAAATTGTGGAAAAGCTCTGAGGGTGATATCTGCAGTATCTCCAAATCCCATTCCCTTTCTCTTGCTCTGTGCCTCCGTCCTCACCAGGATAAAGAAAGAGAACAATACTTGAAAAATAACACTGAAAAGCTTTGTTCTGGCCAGGAGTTGCCTGATTTATACAGTATTTTGGTAGCAAAACACTACTATCACGTGCCCAAGGGCACAGGGAGATGCATCATTCTGGACACAGTTTAATTTCAGTGTCACCCACTGCATACAGGACACAGAGTTAGTTTGTCTATGCTAAGCCCGTGCCATTTGAAGCCCCTCATGAGCTTTTGCTCCCAGTAGAGTTCTACTCAATTATGGTTATGAATATCTCACCATTGAAATAATCCTAAATTTGGATTCAGCAAAGCAGGAAGCAAAGAGGAAAACCAGCCTACAAAGACAGGCTGCTTGTGTGGCAGGGATGCTGAAAAAACACTCACTTTTGCCCCAGAGATGTGGGTTGGGTGGAGAAAGCTCAGGTCCCCCCATTGATTTTTAATACAATTCCTAGTAAAGCATTCTTAAGGGAAGGCAAACTAAGGGAGCAGTTGGGAAACTCCCCTGGGTAGCCGGGAAGCTCCTGAAAACGAGGAGCATTGGAAATAAAGCTGAAAACAGGATTAGCAGAAACACATCTGAATGTCAGCTCCAAGCATGGATTGCTCCCTTCCAGAGCAGAACTGGCAACAAGAACATTCAGGTGTCCGTGAGCCTTTTGCTATCCATTAACAGACATGCACATAGCTCTTCCCATTTCCGTCTGCTCCGGATCCTGCCTCATCAAGCACCGTGTGCTTGTTCCACTGCCCTGCCAATCATACTCCCATGGCAATGAATGGAAATCTCTGCCACTGGATCCCCATCAGCCCTTACAGCATAGCATAAAACTAGCACACCATGTTCTTTGAAAAAATTGGCTTATTTTTGCAATGATCTGGCATTATTTTCCCACCTGTGTCTGTACCCAGTAATAAAGCGTGTGCCTTTACCCTGGCTTTGGATTATTTGAGAGTCATACAAAAATGATGAATAGAAAGGATGATGGCACAAATTTAGGGAACAAGAGCTGGGCAAAAGACACCAAATGAAAAATAATTTGGCTTATTTTTATCCAACGGAGCCTGCCAGGGGTCTGGGTTATTTCTGAGTAACCCTGTGATACCCTCTCCCCAAAATACCCCTTCCCACGTGCCACCAACATGACAGCTGGGCTCCACCACAGCTCCTCATAGCCAGACTCTGATCAGTTTTGAAAGGAGAAAGGAGGGGATAAAAAAGCAAAAGCAGAGCACAAAGGGGGAACAGGGAAGGTAGAGAGAGGAAAAAAAAAAAAAATAAGGGGGAGGGAGAGGAAAGCAAAAAAAGGAGTTCCAAGTTGAGCGCAAACATACTTGAGGTCAGCAGAGTGGGCAGCCATGAGGTTTCTGAGGCTCTTGTCAGCAAGAGGACAACCAGAAAGGCTGAAAGAGAAGAGATGGAATATCTGGATAAGCCAAAAAAAAAAAAAAAGGAAAGAAAAGAAAAGAAAAAAAGAAAAAGGGCTGGGGCGTGGGGATGGAGAAGGGTAACAGAAGGTGGGGAGGAAACAGAACCAAATTGTCCACGTGGTCAAACAATATACTAAAAACTAAAGTTGTATTTAGAGTTTGAACAGTGGAAAAAAAGGTGAACCCACCTGCGGTGAGAGGCATAGTTTCCCGTGATGTGTCCACTGCCATCACAGCCTGGGGTAGGGCAACTGGGCAACAACAACAACACAAATGTTAGTGCTGGAAAGGGATTAATTCACCCCAGAATGCGAGCCCTCTTTGGTATCTGCATTGGAAGGTCCTTGCCTTTGGCCCTGTTCACAGGCAAATACACCAGCTCTTTCCCTTTTTTGTTCCCAGAAGTTCACGATTCTTCACAATTTTAACAGAAAGAAAATTGTGGTAAATGTGAAGAAAGTGTTTGAAAACTTGGGTTCTCAGTGCTGTTGGTACCCACTCTTTGCCAACAGGAGGGCTGAGAGATGGCAACTTCACAACCCCGCCAGGAATGGCATAAGACACCGAGCATCAATCAGACACAGACAGCTCCTGGCTTAACTACAGACCATTCGTTACAGCTCTCGGGCCAGAGAGGAGCAATGGTACTAAATGAGGAGAGACAGCTCGAGGTTGGCCATGACACCATTTATTTATTCCAGGGAAGAAATTTCTTGCCCTTCATAACGCAATTAAAGCACTGCAGGTCTTCAAGGTTCTACCTCAAGAATTGCTATTCACATCACTGCTGAGTTTCCAAAAAGCCTTGAGAGTTTTGCATAGGACAGCTGGTTTGTGCTTTGCTAATTTAGGGAAGCGACTGCTTTGCCCCTGTGGACTTCTTCCTTGCCTGGCCACACTCTTCCATCAGCCTCCTGCTTGCATAGCCAAGTAACGAGCAGCATTGTATAAGGTCAGCAAAATGAGGCTCACCAGCTCTCCCCTGTTTAGCATATAGGAAGGTCAGGCAGGAAAGAGGCCCAGGCATAGCAGATCCACTGGGAGGGGAGAACTCAGCTCCACAGCCTCCAGACTGATCCCAACAGCCACGAGAGCAGGGACACATCCACACTGCAGCTCTAAACATGCACCGTGACTGTGGGGGATCAGCAGGGATGCAGAGCATCGTGTCATCTAATAAAGACCAAGGTCTATTTTCTCCCCACCCAAAGCCATGAATACACAGACAGTAATTTAGGTAAGACCTCTCCAATCTATAACGCAGCATGACAGCAAGCCTGCTGTAGCTAGAGTTCACATTTCGTGGCCCTGCAGTATCATGGTGATGTGACCCATTGCTCTACATTAATTACCCAACAAGCCCTGCCTTCCCAACGAGGCACCTGGAAGGACAGTGCCTGCACTGGGAAGGTGCTGAGCTCCTTTGGGTGCTTTTAGCTTCACAGTATCACTCAGTGTCCCAAAACAAGAGGTTGGGACCTTGGAAAGGCTCTACCGCTGTGCCAGAAACACTCCTAGAGGAAAATACCATGGAAAACAGGCCCTGCAAAGCAGTTTGCACAGCTGTAGCTGTGAATCCTGAGAACACAGAACTCCTTAGGAGCTGCCCTTCAGCACTGCAGTCTCAGGACCACAGGGGAATGGATTTTATCTCAAGGATCAGAAGTTGTATGAAAGTAGGGTTTCCCTTTAAGCTTTCATTTGAAGCCCTAAGATGAAATCAGAACAATCACAGCAAGAAAGGCAGCTACACTTCTAATTCTTACAATGTATTTGGTGACAAATTTTGTCTGCTACCAGCCTGGCTGTCACTGAGGATGTGTTTTTATACACATAGGAAAAAAAGACAAGAAGGCAGGGCTTACGTGAGCAGCTCTTTCTTGATGTCCTTGGAGAGGAATTTAAGCTTGAAGTTAGTTAAGGTAACTTCCCCTGGATATTTTCTTTCTTCAAAGTTTTCCTCGGACACTTCTTGCTCATCAGCTTCCGAGGAGGCAAAAGAGTGGGCTGCAGGCTCTGACTGCAAGAGAACAGCCAGAAGTGATTGCACTGGTGCCCGTTGCTGCTGAGCTGCAGTGGGAAAGGACCCCGGGTTCATCCCAGCTCAGAGTTAAGGCAGCACTGCCAGCACTCCTGAGGCCTGCAAGCACCTTGGGGATCAAACAGACAGTAATTTCCCCTTTTTATAGGAGAAATGTTCAAAGTGTATATCTGTACAGGGCTTACACTCGGCTTTATCAAGGCCTTGCAGATGGACTCAGACTTATCCCCAGCAGGACCTGCCATCTGCACCCCAGCCAAGAGGCTAAATGACAAAGTAGGGGTGCTGGGAGAAACAGGACAACAGTACAAGCAAATATGAAATTCATCCCTGCACAGAGATTTGTAATTTAAACATCCAGAGCCACCTCTCACCTCTTCTGGCTCTTCTTCCCGCTGACGGTTTGGTTTAGTGTAGTCAATGGGTCCATCCCATTCATCCTGGCGGGAGGTCTGGCTGGACTGGGGGGAGGTCATGGTGCTGCTCGTGGCACTGGTGCTGTTTTGGCGTTGGGACACATCTGGGGACTTCACGCTGGGACTACTGCTGCAGCTGCTGCTGCTGGGAAATGTGCTCTCCCGCTTGCGGTTCTTGTTCATACTCAAGTCCAGAGTCCCATTTTCATCCACCTCAATGTCCATGGACTGAAAAGTTGGAAATGTGCCCAACGTTAGCAGCTGCCAGAAATTCCCTAAGGGGATCTTGCCCCCATTTGTCACGGGGGAGCTAGGGAGCAGGTTATTCATGTCCTGTCTTTTCTGCAGTCACTTAGAAGGAACTGAATGGGAAGAGATGCTCCTTCATACAGATTTTCAGAAACATGCCATGCAGACACACCCCTCTCCTAAAAGCAACAAAGCATTTAGTCTCAGTTGCCTGAACACAGGCATCTAGAGCCATTTAAGATGTCCCATGGCATCCAAGACATCTGCCCAAGGCTGGGCATGGGACACAGGACATCAGGAAAACCCCTGATGCAACTGGGAAATCTAAAATGACATCAGATATTGAGCAGTGAGCAACTGAAACCCATCTTAGATGGATAATTTGAACCACGATGCATCTCCTGAACATCCTAAGAGCCATGATTAACTCCTCCAAAGAGTACCTCACCCAAAGCACGTCAGAAGGGAAAAGGCAGTATGTGATAACATCCTCCTTTCCTCTCTATTTAAAGGTCAAAATGAAAGGGGGGGATAAAAAATAATAATAATAATAATTAAAAAAAAGGTATTTCTCCCATCTAAAGCTTCCAGTTCCAACCCTGCTCACCTTGCCGGGTGCCTCTTGCTGCTTGGTGCTGAGATTCTCTGGCATTTCCCAACAGCGCGTGGAGAGGTTGAGGATGGCGGTGGCAGCCATGTGAGCAGCCTCAGCGTCGTGGGAGTAGTCGAAGCCTGTGGAGGAAGATGAAGTGCTCTTCACGTAACTGCTGGAGGGGCTGTGGCTGGGGGAAGAGGCCTTTGGAAAAGGTTTGGCTGGAATAAAAAGAGAAGGAAGAACAGAAAGCTAATGTAGGTCTGGCACGGGCAGAGCGAGGTGTTAAGTCAGACTGATGAAGCGAAGATGTCAGCAGTTCCAGTGGCAAACTGCGTTTATTACCAATCCATGGGCTATTTAATTGTTAGGGAGGTGCTGGCTGTGGCCAGGATCTTGTGTGAAGGTTCTCAGTGGGAAAAGTCAATTCATTAAGTAGATCTGCCATCAAGTCCCACAGAACTCAGCACTTTTCTTCATTAAAGCTACCCCTCGGTGGAAAGTGTCAAAGGAGAAAGCTCAGAGAAGCTTCCTGGCTCTCTGTCTGTTCATAACTTATCCACAGAGATGACTTGCAGCAGATGTCTTGTAGCACATTTGAACACTTTAGGATAAAAAATTACATTTATAGCAAAACCATGGCCATGAAATATGAGCTTCTGATGATGACAGCAGTGAAATACGGAATTCCCGACAGCTGACTTGTCATTTAAATATGTCTGAATAACAGGATTTATTGCTCCTCTGCACATGGTCACTACCCCACACCAGTGCTGTATATCACAGCACACAGCAGTGCGATCCAGGAGGTGCAACGCTCTCTTCATGCTTGATGGCTAATCCACACTAAAACTTGCCTAAGGTTAATCCACACTAAAACTTGCCCTCATCTTGAAACTGTGCCCGTTTGGAAGGGCTGTGAGCCAGCCTGAGTCCCTCAGAAGTCAGCAGCTTCAGTGGGTGCAAATGGGATTTTTGTCTGATTTTGACCCATCACAGGGCCATATTCCAACTCAATCAGCAACATTTTAAAATTCTTAATTAATTTCACCAGGCACATTTAGAGGGGAAAACACGCAGCCCCTTCAGCAAGACTCGTATGGTTCATCCCAGCAGGGACGAAGCTGCAGGACAAGCTTGGCAAAGCAGAGCAACTTCATGATTGTCACCACAAACCCAGAATATAAGGCATGATAAAATGCTAATCTGCCAGGGACCTCTCCCTTCCTCATTGTGCGCGTACATAATGCGTATTGACATTAATGGGAGTTATGCACACACATGCAGGGGAGTATAAATCCCTCTGGATGAAGATCTCTTTAAAATAAGTACTCAGTGAAAGGAACAGACTTCCCTGCTATGATTGGCAATCATATTCATCTTGTCGCTTTGATTAACTCATTGGAAACTTGCCCGAATGGTTATTCTTGTGTAGGGCTGCTTGTTTTTCAGTCCTGTTTAATCCATGTCTTTACGGTGGGGTGCGGGGTTTGTCAGCCCGACCCCACAATATCCAGGATTGGGAGATGCCAATTTCAATTTCACACCGTAGGCTCAGTGATGCTTTTCCATTTCATAAGTATTTCTACCGCTAATAGACTCGCAATCAGCAAATTAGTAAAATAAGTGATGAGAAAAAATAGGAAGGATTATCCTAGTGGGTCTGCTGGAATTATTTTTGTCAGTACAATTACCCTGAAAATTCTTCGCTAATATTGCAAATAACACAATCTATTCAGCAAGAGAATCACTTGCTCTGGGAAACAAATTACTTTTCCATCAGACCTAACCCAGGATGACAGTGGCAGTTGTGCTCTCTGGCCTCCATCCAATTTCATTGTCTGATCCTTTACAGATTTAGTACTGTAATAAAGGCAGCTTCCATTGTAGTGCAACAACCAGGATGCTTTCAAGTACGAGCACTTTTTAGAGAGCAGCTGCATCAGGATTAAACAGGATTGTGGAAGTGGGATTAGCCAGACAGAAAGCTCTCTGGAGGCTGCTGACTTCTGCAAACCGAGCTCCTAAATCTTTATTTTTTTTTTTTCTTCCCCAGGAAGATGCCTTCAGGAGCACATTTGGAGTCAGAGGGAGGGGGAAATTAAACACGGGTCTGACAGAACAGGGCTGGGGCAGTCTGGCTCCTGGTGCTGCTCTCCTGCTCCTGGGAACCCCAGGCTCAGACCATTGCATTTTCACCCGCCCTCCCATTGCCCAGCGCTGTGAGCAGCACGAGGAGCTCAGTGAGGAGCAGGTGATCGATCGGGGAGCAGAACACGGCCAGGAAGACAAATGGGTGGAATGGGTCATACAGAAGATGGAAGAGAGGAAAACTATAATCCATTTAGCGAGATGAGAAAAGACAGATCAATAGATATGAACTGCAAAGCAGTGGGGACAGACTGAGGACAACTGTGTAACTTATCCCACCTACAGACGTGGCTCAGATTAATGTTCCCACTGCTCAACGTGATTCTTCCCAAAGCTGAATCTCAGAATTACAGGGGTCGGAAGGGACCTCAAGACATCACCAAATCCAACCCCCAAGCTCTCCCCAAGGCCAAGCTCTCCATGTGCCCCTCTCCCCATCAAAGGGATATGTCATGGGGGCCCATTTCTCCTCCCGTTCAGGCTCAGCCCTTCCTCCCCAAAGTGATGCACCCATCACCCCATGGCATGTGGCATGCCAAGAAAGACAAAGAACACAAAACCCAGCCCTTCCCTGTGCCCAACTTACATTTAAAGGCTTTAGGTGAGGTTTCGCTAGTCTGAATCTTTGGGGCAAGCATGCGTTTGCCAAAAACCTGAGCATCAAAACTTGCATAATCGAAGGTGACCTTGGAGTACTTCTCCAGCTCCTTGGCCAGGTTGGCCCGGGGGGTGGCTGGGACCATGTTGGGCCGGTAGCTTCCGTACTGAGGGATCTCCAGCTGCTTCACAAAGCACATAGGCCTGAGGACAAAACAACGAGCACCAATGATTTCTCTTTTTCTTGGGAGCCCACAGCAGGGGCTGCTGGGAGGGAACTGATGTGATGGAGACGTGCAGCTGCACCTTGTCCCCAAGGGCTGTTAGAGAAGAGGTGACAATGACTTTTGCTCTCCCTCAGCAAGTCTGCA